TCATAAGGGTATTTTGGGAAATATATGGATAACTACATAATGTTTGGCATCTATGATGTGAATTACATTCATAAATATGAATTGACACTCTATAGATGAAATTGGAACATATACATGAAGGGATCCTAGTGAAGTTCTACCCTAGTGATTATTTTGGCCCAAAGAGCAATTTGCGAACATGGAAGGAATTGAGGATTCCAAAGCTATATTAGACATTTACAACGAGTTTAGTTATGCATTCAAGTACTTAAAAACTTTGATATGAGTGTACAACGAGTTTTGTTCAAGCTTTGTAAACTTTGGAATGCCTAATTCCATTGTAGCCTAACTAACCATTCTATTAGAAAAGATGTGAAACATTATGTTCTTAATGGTTTCAATGAGCACTTAATGGATTAAGTGGAGTGTTTTGGATGATAAAACACCTCCTAATCATAAGTAAGAACCTAAATAAATGGTACAAAGTGATTTGGAAAAGGTTCTTCAAGAACTATGCAAAGTAGGGTGTAATTTTGAGAAAAATCGAGTTTTGTGTACGTGCAGAAATGAAAACACGGTCCGTGGATATTTCATGCCTTAATATCTACGGCCTTGCAAGGCTCTATTACAGAGTTACTTGTTTTCTTCATAACTTTTTCATACGGACTCGTATTTATGCGCGGTTTTTGCCTACGTTCATAACTTTTCATGAGGAGTAGTACGAAGCAATAACATTTAGTAATGGAACATTTGAGGGGTATTTTGGTCATGTTATTAAATTTCTACTACATGATACATATGTGGCGCTTGAGAGTGTTTCTCTAAGGAAATGAACTAGAAGAGCACTAGTTAATTTACGTGTGATTAGGGTGAGTACGTGTTGGCATTTTTCCCACTTTAGGGTACATGGAAAAATGATTTTATGATAAATAAAAGCAATATCTTGATATATGAAACGTTTTGAAAAAAAAGTGTTAAATGTTTTTGGAAAGAATGTTTTGAAAGAATCCCTTGAGGCAAGAATGTTTTTTGAAAGCAAAGAATATTTTAGAAGAACGAATGTTTTGATAACGTGTTGAAATGTTTTGAAATATAGATGCTTTAATTATGGAAATGAGTATTTTGATATTAATGTATGAATGTATAAAACATGAAATGCAATGACAAGAAATGGAACAGTAATGAAAAGAATTGGAAAGTAATGAAAAGAATTAGAAAGTAATGGAAATAATATATTGTTTGAGTCATGATGTCCTCGTAACGGGATCTAGCGGAATTTACTCGGCTGGTGTCTTCCCCCACGCGAAATAGATGTCCTAGTTAGCACGATGCATTATTAGATTGATGTAAAATTTGTTTCAAGTACATTTCCCATTTTGGCTTTAAATATAAAAAGTTTGCAATCTAGATCCCTATGTGGGGCGTACCTAGCCGAATCTTGGACACATTGGTTTTCCCCTAGTATGTTGGGTGTACATATGATACGTTGGGCGTACACAAGTCATAGGCAAATCCTAATTTTTAGGGTTTGGATCCTAGTTAAGCATCATTACGGTCTATGAGGCTGCTTCCTTATCAGCCCCTATTACCTTGAAGACACCCCCACGAAACCCCAGCTTCCATTTGTGTGAATCTTGAGTTTCTGAGTGATTTTAGTGTGTTTTGGTGCATCTAGAAGAAGAAGAAGCTTAGTGAAGGAGCACTTATTGAGTTGGAGCTTGTGGATCCAGGGTCTATTCATCTTTCTCAGCTTCAGGAGGTATAAAGTCTTGATCTTGGTTATTATATGCTTAGATCTAGGACTAGTTGAGATTTGAGTATATTTAGGTCCTATGGATGAGTTCATGTGAGTAAATGCTACTCTAGAGGTCTTGAGTTATTCTTTTGATGTTTATGAGGTTCCTTAATGATAAAGTTTGCATCTTGATGGTTGGGGACCAACCATGCAAAATTTATGGTCATTTTATGAAGGAAGAATGTTAGATCTAGGATTTGGACCTCTTGGAGCCATGCAAAGGATTAAAGCTTTCGACTTCATGGATTAAGACCTTATTTAGAAATAAGTCTGAGGTTTGCACGTTAAGGTCTTAAGGGGTTAAGCCATGTGGATGAGATAAAGCCATTAACCAGTATGTTGGGCATACTTCTGAGTACGCTGTGCGTACTGGGTTTGAGTCTCGTTTTCTTCCTCACTGTTTGGACTTGTACGCTGGGCGTAATATGGTGGTATGCATGGCGTACTCACTAGCTGGGTTTTTATGGGTTTATGGCATTCTTGGGACATTTTTGGGCCATAAGACTTTATGGGTTTATGGCATTTTTTGGCCTTAGGAATTTATGGATTAGGTCATTTCTGGGTCTTAGGCCATTTTGGGTTTTGGACCTTGATTAGTTAGGCCCAGTAAGGGAAGGGTAAAATGGTCTTTTATCCTAGGAGTTGGGATTAAGTATTTAGACTCTCGGTTATCGTTTATGGCCTAATTGTTAATTAGGGTTTTATTTTTTGTGATTTAGTCCGGTTCAGCAACCCGAGTGTTATTTTGTTTATCAGCGGATCGAGGTGAGTCTTCTCACAGTGTTGGGCGGGTCGAAGGCACCAATTTCGGCCCATTGATTAATGTTCATAGGATTCTAGCTGTTTGTGTGACTCTTGCATGTATTGTATGTGTTTGTTTGTATACCGGGTGGGGCCCGATGCTAGGCGAGGCCTGATGAATATGTTGGGTGGGGCCCATCGCAAGTTACTAACATATCTCTACCGGGCAGGACCCGATGGAGGTTGGACGGGGCCCATCGTATGTATGCTATGTGATATTTTGGAGAAAACTCACTAAGCTTTGTGCTTACGGTTTTCAGTTTATGTTTTAGGTACTACTGGTTCGAAGGGGAAGAGCCCGGGATGATCGTATTACACACACCATGTTTTCTGCATTATTGACTCTGATGTATTTTGGATATGGATGATATACTATGATTTTCCATTTTGGTTTTCGATGAACAAGAATTGGTTGGTTGTTTATCTAATATAAAATGAAAATTTTTTGTTATAAATTTTAGGACGTTACAGTTGATTTGTTCTTTCCACATTTGTCTATACTTGGGGTACCTAAGTATAAAAATGGCAATGGTTTAATATCGGAATTAACCATTGATAAAAAGAGAAATAAATGTAGAAAAATATCTTTTGAAATGAAATGAAAAGAAGTGAATTGATAAGATATGAAAGGATAAGATATGAAATGATATTTATGATCTGTACAAAAAGAGTTTTCCTTGAAAATGCATGAAAATGTTTTATGATCTAAAACTAATTTTTTGCAAATATGAAATGTTTTTTATGAAAATGCGATAAATGTTTTGGGTCACAATCTCACGTAGCTCATGAGATATTATTGTCTTACATATCTTTTTTGATGTCATGTATCTCAGGTTACAGTTAAGGAGAGAGGATGATAGATGAAAGTTAGAAGTCAAGAGATAGAGAATGGAGTGGAACTTCCTAAGTTCTTTATTAATTATATTGATGTATACATTTGTTTGCTATGGTTCTATGATGCTTAATGATAACACCCAAAGTTTTAATTGTGAATGTTTTGTGGGACCGGTTTTTGTTAAATGTGGAATAAGGCTCGTAATGATTTTATTAAAACCATAGCATTTTATAGTTTGAAAAAGTTTGTAAAATTTTGGGTGTTATAAGTTAAATAGTAGAGTCAGTAACCTTAATGTCTGAGAATACATATGATGAACAATCATATATAGTTAATTAAATTTCATGACCATTGAGTTTAATAATAAATCAAGTCTGCCATATTACGAACTGAACACTGATTTTAAGATAAACATATCAATTCCAGTGTAAGCAAATTACAAATGGTCTAATTTTCTAACTTAATTTTTATGGGTTCTCATTAGTGATGTCACAAAATTCGGGGCAGGTTATTATTTAGGTTTACTAAAAAACTGGAGCAAGTTATCGATTAGTCTCTGTATTAAGATGTAACAATGGTGATGATGACGTTGATCTAGATTGTTAAAGGAGTTAAGACAATTTGAGTGGATGGGTTACTAATTATAGGAGCATCAACTATAGCAGTTGTGATTTTGTTTTTTTGATGGTGGCAATTCACCAGGTGGTAGTGGCTTATAATAGTAATAGAGGAGAGCATGAGGGTTTTTATTTAATTTCTTTTTTAGTTTACATCTGTCCCTATAGTTTATAAAATAGGATAATAAAAAAATCAAGGATAGTTTAGTTATTTTACTTAGATTTAACATTTCATTTGTAGTAAAGTTAGACAAAATGACAGACTCTTCAAGGTCTGAAAATTATAAGGGTCATTGGTCTAGCATTTTTGATAATTATCCATACTCGATGCGTTTATATTTATTGTCCGTTTTTTATTTTTGAAGTTTTTATTATTCAACTTTGATATTAAATATTTATATTTGTGGTATATATTATTTGATGAAATTTATAAAAAAAAATAAAAAATAAAACACAATTCATTCATATATTTTGTATCAAGTATTATATATCGAAAACAAAAATATATATGGTCAAAATTAAAAAATAAAAACTTAAAAAATCAAAAATAAACAATAAATATGTTACACAGTAGTTTTTGCAAACCATAAAAACTAAACATGAAAATTTGTCAACGTTTTATTACAATATCGTTTTCATTTAGTTTTATGAAAATTGACTTCAATGAATTGTCAATTTTGCCAATAAAATAGGGGATATATCAATTTGATCAAACAATGTTAACATTTAAATCATTATTAATAGCTTATGTTAACTTATTTTATTATAAACGTAAACAAAGTATGTTTATTGATTTTATTTAAATATGTAAGCATAAAAAATGATTTTTTATAAAAAAATCATTTTAAATTTTAAAATCAATGATATTCTTATTAACTATTAACATGACATCAATCATTATTATTAATAATAATAATAATAATAATAATAATAATAATAATAATAATACATAGAGAATATAAAGACAATGGAATAATATTGAAAACTATCTCGTTGATTTAAAAATGAAGCAAAATAAAATAAAATATAATAAATTGACAAATGATTACGAACCTATTTACACGAATTTAAATTAAAAAAAAGAAAAGAAAAAAATAACCTCTAGAAGGCTCACACCAGTATGAATTTCTGAATTTGCTGAAAACCTATGAAAAATGTCCAAAGCTTGTTGAAATCCTCTGGAAATGCTTGTTATAAGTATCCACACTTTGCTGTCCATGATACAGTTCATGGTTCACCCCGAAATTGACTTCAGGTTTACTCTCAATCGCCGATTTCCCCATTAAAAATGGAACTTGAAGAAATTGATCATTCCATTTGATGTAATCTTGTTCACTTTCTACACCATTAATTTGGTTTTGACTTTTGTTGCAATCAGTCAACCCCCATGGATGATACCCACCGTTGTTCTGGAAGAAACCACCGGTGCCTCCATTATTTCCACTCCCCCAATTACTCTGTTGCTGGAAATTGGCGGTGTTGCGCGGCAGAGCTGAGAGGAGGGGGTTAGAGATACCACTTGTATATTCCGTGATCAACTCCGACGATGGCTTGGAATCGGTATTGAAGAAAATATCAGAAGATTCCGTCGGTGGTGGTGGTGGTGGTGGTTGTTGTGTATAACTAAAAGGGAGGAATCCGGAGAGATGATGGGAATCCGGTTGCTTGGTTGGAGCTTCGTGACTCGTTACAAACCTGTTAAGGAAGAATTCATGAGTCGCCGGTGGAGGGTTGTCAATTAGAGGGTAAGATGACGCCATCGCCGCCGCCGGTGGTTCAGTTTTCTCATCAAGATACGAGTACGACCCCTGTGAGTTCTTTTCGTTGCTCCCAGATGGATCTTTACGATCATCATTGACTTCCGAAAGTGGTTTATGAGTGTTTGGATCAATCCCTCGTTGCCTTAACTTCTTCTTGATCGACGAGTTCCATAAGTTCTTGATTTCATTATCTGTTCTTCCGGGCAACTGAGCTGCAATCTGAGACCACCTGAAAAGGAAAAAAACCAGTTAGAAGTAAGATACTTAGACCCATTAATCAACAAAACTCAAATTCACAAAACAGAAATGTGAATTATAATCATTACTCAAGAACCACATACTTATTTCCAAGAACTGCATGCAATTCGATGATGAGTTTCTCTTCTTGTTGAGAGAATGTGCCTCGTTTCAAATCAGGCCTCAGGTAATTAATCCATCGTAGTCTGCAACTCTTGCCGCATCTTTCAAGGCCTGTAAAAGAAGAAAGATTAGAAGGAGGGGAAGGTTAACGATAATGGCGGAATAAGGGAGGAGGGATGGTGGACAGGACCTGCAAGTTTAGGGACGGAGCTCCAGCAGCCATGGCCGAATTTAGTGATATGTTTGATGAGCTTTTCATCTTCTTCAGGGGACCATAGACCTTTTCTTAGCTTTTGTTTATAACAACAAGAGTGCCTCCCCATGTGGATGAGGCAGATTCTACAAATAATCTAGGAAGTAGGAACACGAAGAGGAGTAAAGCGTTTTGTTTTTAAGAATACTTTTGTGTGAACTGTCACCCAAAAAGGAGGAGTTGAAAGCTTTAGAGAGAAAGATAGAGAGAGAACGAGAAAGAGATGGAGAGAGAGAGAGAGGGGATAAAGACTTGCAGCAGGTATTGAAAGTGAAGGGGCAGGCTGGAAGGGTGGGGGGTTCGAATTAATAGGGGAGGGAGCCCTCACAAAAATGGATACACATTTTAGTATTTTGCATTAACCCAACCGTACGGTCTTTATTCCTTGTTTTTGATTAAAGGTTCTCGTATGTTGATGAATAATGATATGGAAATAATTTCTAACAAAATAATATATACAAGGACAAGTTTATAAAAGTATAGGATTTAATATATATATATATATATATATATATATATATATATATATATATATATATTAAATCCTATACTTTTATAAACTTGTCCTTGTATATATTATTTTGTTAGAAATTATTTCCATATCATTATTCATCAACATACGATTTACAATATATATTCGTATTTACAATATACTCTCACATAGACGGTTTTAACAAACAATGTTGCATTAGAGAGGTCGGTATGGGTTCTCTATGTGGTGGAGTATCCTACGTGAAAGGCCAATAACGTCATTAAGGCTAAGGGAACACTGCCTCTGATCCAAGTCGTGTTAAACCCCATTACCACCACAACGTCCCTCAACGTCTTTCGTCTCTCCTTCTTCTTCTGTTTTTCTTCTTTCTTGGCTTCACCACAAAGTCAACCCATAGATGAATATCATTCCCTCTCGGAATGGTGGAGAGAAGATGATGATGTGGCAGTGTTGTGGCTGGGTATGGGTGTACCCACAAGCCTTGCCTATTGTGTTCATGATTTCGTGTTATATAATACTTCGTTTAGTTTTGTAGCAGCACAAGTTTTTTCGCGGCAAATTTTTTTAGTAATATGTTAAACCCATAAGCTAGAATTTACATGTCTAGATCTAAGAACAAAACCAAACATTCTATAATCTAAGGAATAAAATTTCGTTTCATGCTTAATCAAATTAAAATAAAATAAAATTATCTATTTCGCCGTCATCGAAGTGGTGTACCTCATATTCGTGAACACGAGCAGGTTTATAGGTCTTCGTTGCATACAAATCACCGAGAAAAGCAAGTTTCATATGCTTACCTTTTAAGCACGTCGTCATTAATCAACACAAGAAATGTCGAAGAGAAGAAGGAAACTATGTGTTTAGATGACTCTACTTCAACCTTCAACCCCGAACAAAAGGAGCATAGAGAAGAGACAATGTTCATGCTTCTATGAGGTAAATTCAATACAAATGACACTCTATATTTTCACCATCTCTACCGAAAAACATTATATATTCAATAGGACCCAATTCTACCATAGGAATTGAGGTATAATTTCAAAAACTATACATCAATATATAACTAAACAATTTAAGCTATGTTTTTTCATGTTTACATTTGGTGTGCTTACTGTTGGGGTAATCGAGTTGTTCACTAGTCAGCGGGTACTAAATGGTCCAGGGGTAAAAAGGTCTTTTAACCTTCTTGTTGGACGTGAGATTGTTGGAGTCTTTTGCTGCAAGTTTAACTTGAGAAGGACTTGTATCAGGAAGGTTAACATGGAGCTAAAAGGGAGGAATACGTGCTCATATGCAACATGTGTGTTCTTGATTGCTTTAGTTATAAATAGGAGTAATGTTAGTTTATTTGTTTTTGTACTCTCATATTTAATATAATTGTTTTAACAGTGGAGTTCCATAACTATTCTTTATCTTTGCAAATTACATATAGTGTATGATTGTGTGGGTTGTGTGTGTGTGTGTGGGGGGGGGGGGGGGGGGTCTGAACCAACAATTGGTATCAGAGCCTAGGGCTCGTGAAGAGGTACACAACCATTTTAAAAGTCGACTTTCGAAGGGGAGGAGCCTTCGGGTGCAAGCCTTCCATCACAACGGAAGCGGTGTTTCGGGTCGACCGTTGTAGTGGGGAAGACGGGAAGCACCGTTGGTGACGACGAGGGTGATGGTTCAAATCGTGGGATCATTGGAATAGGTTCTAAGTGAACCGTTGCAGTTCAATAAGGTTCTGTGTGAGTTGAGTTCAAAACAAGAAAATCTATGTGATTAGAATTATCTGTATGATAGAGTTTTGGAGATTAATCTATTTGAGTTGAAAGAAAGAGTTGTGTGTTGAATCCAAGTTCTGGGTGAAGCAAGAATATAAGCAACATATGTGGTGCAGCTATCCTGTATGGAGAAGCAAGTCAATCGTGAGAAGAAAAAATAGATATATGTGATCAGAAGATAAGAACTCTGTGCACCTGCAAGTGTGTTTGTGTGTGTGTGTGTGTGTGGTTTGAAGATCTAAAATAACCCAGTGATATGTTGGTACTTTCCGAGAAGAAAGAATCGAGTTAGGAATGATGCTAGCAACAAAGGAGGACTTTGGACATGACTGAGGTGGAGGTCGAGTGTCCGATGTCACACCCCCGAACCAGACGGCGGAAACGTCTGGGGGCTTATGCGTGACTTCATCCTTGTAGTATCATCACATAGTATATAATTGAAACATAACATCATCATCATCATCACACATGTAATATAACAACATACATTGTTTACATCGAGTATTGTGTTTGAATATTACATGCCAAAATAATTAAAGTATGATGAAACAAAATATAACAAAATATCTATTAGTTTTTTCAGCCCAACCTGCTTCAACAGTTTCCTGAGAATACAAGTTAATTTAAAAGGTCAACATAAAAATGTTGGTGAGTTCATAAGCATGTTTGAGAAAATGATTCGTATAAGTTTGTAATCACAAGAAAATCCTGTATTTTCTTAAAATAGTTTAGTATGTTTGTGTCCGATCTTGTATTAATGCATGTGTGTTATTGTTTAATAGAATGCCAAAAGTGAATGAATAGATAGTAAAGAGAATGCCCCCCAGACAACCCTTTATTGTCTGTAAAAGAGAATGCTGGTATATCAACTCCCGAGATTGAGTACCAGCGCGAGTATGTTCCCGAGTAATCCAAAGAGAAAAGAGAATGGTCTCCCGTAAATTTCATAATGTTAATTCCTCTAAGTAAGCCGTTATAACCATACTAGATAATGACAATTTCGTCTGTCTTGGTGTTTATGGACGCCGACGGAAAATAGAATAAGGTTTTCGTCACCCTAGACTGGTGTAGTCTAACTGTAGCGAACAACTCAGGTGTGGGGTGTCATCCCCGTATAGATCTATACACAAACCCCCGCTCTCCCTCCAAGAGACTCTGGTTATAACTACAGGCTACGATCGTACACTCAATAGGTGTCAACCGACACGTCTCACTAGATCCTTAATCGAATTTACGCGAAGAGAAAGGTATAAAACACATTCCAGGCCCAATGAACCATGCAAGTGAACAACTAAGGCTCACCAAACATGTAAGTCATTTCCAGGCCCGAAAGGAATGAGATTATATAACATGGGCCCAAAATATATGTAAAAGGACAACTAAGGCTCATTTCACATGTAAGGTATTTATAGGCCCAAATAGCACGCAAAGAGTATCCAAGGTCCGTCGAGCATGTTAATGGGTCAATGAGGCCCAATAAACATATAAAGAGTATTCATGACCTATCAAACATATAAATGGGCCATTAAGGCCCAATAACATGAGAATGACAAAATTAGCCCGTTCGTTTTTATATTGCTAGTATTAGCTCAATTATTTACCAAAATGGCATAAAAGGCCCACTTTCTGTAAAAATGACATTCTTGGCCCATTAAGCCAAAAATTTACAATTAAGGCCTAATTTTAGTAAAAATAACATTTTAGGCCCCCTTTTTGGACAAAACTTGCATTTAAGGCTAGTTTTTGTAAAAATAACATTTTTAACTCACTTTTGTCAAAATTATCATTTTTGGCTCGATTTTTATAAAAATATATATATTTGGCCCATTATAGATAATTTCATCTTTTTGGCCCAAATTTTTATATTTTCACAACTTTAACCCTTCTTATAAAAAATTTACATTTTTGGCACAACTTTCTTGAAAATGACATTTAAGCCCACAAAAGATCAAAAATTACAATTTTTGGGCCCAAAACCGTGAGAAGCCCAAACAAGGCCCATTTATGAAAATGTTTACATTTTTAGTCCGTGTAAGGTCTCAAATGTCGAGATTAGCCATGTTTAGCAAAATATTCCTTTTGAACCCCTTACTAGCCGTGAGTTACATAAATAACCCATATTTTTGTCATTTTATCGATTTTTGCCCCTTTTATGAAGTTTTTCTTGGCTTCAAGTAACCTAAATGTATTTTAAACTTTTTTTCTTGTAAGATGAGTTGAAATAAGTGTTATGTCAAACCAATATCATCATCTTTTAGTAGATCTTTAAGTCCATGAAGTTTGTAACACATAAACACATATATAACTAGAAAAACACACAAAATCATGCATACACACATAGATCTACACAAAACAACTTGTATTCTCCCCCAAAACAAAGTAAAAATCGAAAATAGGGGGTATGAACTCACATTGCTTTAAAGTTTTCGGTTTTTGGTGAGGGAATGAGAAGATTGCGGCCCTAGATGTGTTCTTGAGAAGATTTTCGAACTTAGGAAGTTCTAGGAAGCATGATTCACGAAAAACATGTGTTTAGGAGGAGTGATTGAGATTAAAATGAAGTATACCAACTTGAGTTTGTATGATCTTACCACAATGTGAAGGTTGAAGTGATCTTCTTAAAAACACTCCTAATACCCACGAATTTCTTGAGAGATAGAAAGTGAAAGAGTGTTGAAGGTTGAGAGAAAATGTATTGAATTTGAAATGGTGAGTGAGGTTGGTGAGGGAGAGAGGCCGAGAGTTAGAGAGAGATAAGAGAGGGGAGGGTTGACATATGAAGAGTGTGATTTGAGGGTTGCATGGATACATGAACTCTTGCATGGATATCCACTAGGTATTGTTGAGGTGTCAACTCTCTCCTTCCCTCCCATTTGTTGTTCTTTTTTTTCTTTTTTTGTTGTTGGGCCGAGTATAAGGGAAAAGGAAGAGAGAATGAAAGAGTTTGGGCCCTTTCTTGATTTAGTT